TGGTACATTGCCCTTGTGGGACTAGTGGCGTATGGCCGGGGAGATAGACCAGTAGAGGACCATGGGGGTCCCAGTATTTTCTCCTGTGGAGTTCAGATTTTCCTCTGAAGGTTATGGAGACTCCAACCTTCATTTTTCCAATTTTCTGTTGCATCTTGCCACGTGCTGGATACTGTTCTATCTCTGGGAACAGAACCGTTAACGAGAGAACATTTATGTCACCGAAATACCTTTTGGAGAATGGACTGAGCAAAGAGAGGCAGATAGAAAACCCGATGAGGTCAAGGGCATGAGCCAGGTTCCTGGATTTGATGTGAGAGCTGAAGGTGTCCGGCAGGCAGATGCTGGGGTAGTGCAGCTTAATGAGAGTGGCTGGAGCCGGAAATCCATCCCCAAGAACTTCAGCATCCCTGAGCGAGGCACTCTGTGGTGGTCTGCCAGGATCTGGGGATGTCTGGGACCCACCTGCAAACCCACTAAAATTTCGTGTCTCTGTCCCTGTTTGGACCCTCCAGCCATGCACCGGTTCTACCAGGTGCTGGAGGAGCAGAAGCAGCGTCTGAGAGTGAAGCAGCTGGAGAGCACACAGAGAGAGTAAGCGGTCGGCCTCCCGCCCAGAGGCTGCTGCCAGGCACCTGCTCAGGGACCCCCTGACGGCGGCCACTGGGCCAGAAGCAGGGGTTTGGGCCTGGTGCTGTGACGAGCCACGCATGGGCTCCTCCAGGAACGGGCTCCTCTGACCCCGTCATCAACCTTCTCCAGTCGAGCATCTGTTGCTTTGGAATCTTTGCATCTTTTTCGTCTTTGCTAGCCGTTGCGGGTGTATGTGAAATGTTTTTATGGGGGTTGGGGTGGGGGCTTGCTGGGTCCTGATTTTGGTGGTTTTATTTTTGCAGGCTGCATCTAATAAATTTCATGTTTTCTCAAATTCTAGGCTTGTTTTCTTTCATTACACTCATTTGTGTCAACTCTGGGAGATTTTTTTTGGGGGGGGGGTCTCTTTTAAATTCTAAGGCAAGTTGCATGTGAAGAATACTGTCCAAGGAAGGTGAGAAAGGAAGGAAAAAAGAGATTCCTAATTGACAAAGCGCGTTCTAGATGTCAGGATCCTATGGGACGTTGCATCCCACAAGATCACACCATGCTCAGGTGTGGCTGCAGTGTATGGTAAAGGTGCCCCTCAAAAGGCTTTTAAAATGAATCTCTAGGGCTGAGCCTGGGGTCTTCCATTTTCCATTTTCATCTCTAGTGTTTTCAGCTATTCAGATCAGACCACCTGGGAGCTTGTCTATAGAGCTCTGGCATATCTGCCTTTCAGTCGGAGGACTCGTGCTATGCCCCGGGCCCAGCACAGTCTACTGTGTTTTACAGATGACAAAAGAGCTTTTTAGCACTAACTGATGGCTTTGGTCAGTCACTTGACTTCGTAACCATCCTCTCTTGGGTCCAGATTGGATGGTTCTTATTACTTCAATGACAACCTTTTTCTTTTCTTTTCTTTTCATCAAAAAGCAGTATTACAGCAAATCCTGATTCTTTAGGGTATATCTATCTATCTATCTATCTATCTATCTATCTATATCTCAGATAGTGTTCTTTATAAATTGACTAATAGGATAGTAGACACAAGGAATTCACTGGATGAATGAGGGCGGCCATGGGACCAGAGAGAAGATGAAGATGTGAAAGAAGAGAAGCAGAGGGGGACCTGGGACATCTGTAATGAGGGCTAATAGACAGGACAGTCAGGACACTGTCCTCATTTGAAAGGGACAGTCATGGAAGGGGTCAACTATTTTGTCTTCCACTCAAGATTTGAATGGTTGAGTGGAGAAAACTTCGTATCTCCCTATCCACGAGCAGGGAATCTCCTTTCATTTATTTAGGTCTTTAATTTCACTCGGCAAGGTCTTTGTGGATTTCAGAGCACACATTTCGTCCTACACACATCCTGTTATCTCTATATGATGCTTTTCATGTTCTGCTAAAGGTATTGCTAACTTCATTTTCTAATTGTTTGCTGCTAGTATGAAACAACTGATTTTTGTATCTTGTATCTATCAAGAGCTTTGAAGGCTCTGAGATTTTACCCTACTTACAAACAGCTTTCGAGGATGCTGGCAGAAGACATGAGAATTCTGGGTCAGAGATAAAGGACAGCTTCTTACTCACAGTGGAATCAGAGAATCAGCTTCTGGTTCTCCAAGCCCTGCTTCCTAGAAGGCAACGTGAGGAGGACCCACTGATGCCCGCACATGAAGTGGGGTGTCCTGCAGAAGAGGAAACCCAAGCTTAAGTAACAGGATTCTTGGCCGATGAGCAGTAAGCCTGCCTGAACTTTGGCCCCAAAGGAGACATTTTTATCATACTGAGTAATAAACCTACCCTTTGCTCTAGAGGGAGACATTATCCAATGCTGTTCACTCTACACGTGTGTGTGTGTGTGTGTGTGTGTGTGTGTGTGTACCTCCTTGAAGAGAGCCTAGAACAAAGACAGTCAGTGCCCCTCCTTGTAAGACAGACAGAAACATGAGAGACCTAGGAAGAATCCTCTCCTGACAGTATCTTGTGACCTTGCTAAACTCATTATTAGCCTTAGTAGCATGGCAGGGGGAAAGGGAGATTTCTTTAAATTTTTAATGTATACGATCATGTTGATTATAAATAAAGATGATTTTCCTTCTTCCTTTTTAATATTTCTAATATTTCTTTTTATGTAAGATTTTATTCATTTATTAGAGAAAGAGAGCACGAGTTGGTTACAGGGCAGAGGGAGAAGCAGACTCCCTACCGAGCAGGGAGCCTGACATGGGGCTCCATCCCGAGACCCTGGGATCATGACCCGAGCTGAAGGCAGATGCTCAGCCGACTGAGCCACCCAGGCACCCCAATAATTTTTCTGTTCTAATTGCATTGCCTAGAACCTCCAGTACAATGTCAAATAAAGATAGTAAGGGAGGACATTCTTGTTCTCAATCTTAGCAGAACTGAGGCCACTCTTGATCTTTTTTTCTTTCTAAGAAGAAGCAGGGAGCCAGAGGGAGAGAGGAACAGAGAATCTCAAGCAGGCTCTATGCCCAGCGAGTAGCCGATCTCACAACCCTGAGATCATGACCTGAGCGGAAATCAAGGTCAGATGCCTAACCGACTGAGCCACCCAGGCACCCGACTCTTAGTAAGTATTTTTCATACTGCCCTTTCCCAGATAAGAGTTCCTTCAATTCCTAGTTTGCTGAGTTTTTTTCCATGAATGAGGGTTCTGTTTTTGTCATGTTCTTATCTATACCTCTAGAGAAGATTAAGTTCCTTTAAGTATTAATGTGGTAGATTACACTGAACTTCTTAAATATTAAGGGAGGGTCCTATTCCTGCAATAAGGTGCATATAGTCACGACACATTCTCCTTGTGTATATTGTTGATTTGGTTTTATATTAAGAATTTTACATCTATTTTCTTGAGTATTGTGCTATAACTTTCTCTTTAGTAACACATGGTTGGTTTTGGTATCAGAGTAATAATGACCTCATAAATATGTTGGCAATCTTCGTTCCTCCATTTTCTGAAAGTTTGTGTCAAGTTAATTTTTAAAAATATTTTAAATGGTTGGTAAAATTCACTTATAAAGCCATCTGTACTGGAATTCTTTATGGGAGGTTTTTTACTCATGAACTTAATTTCTGTAGATACTGGGTGATTCACATTTCCTGTTTCTTGTGGTCAGTTTTGGCAACTTGTGCCTTTCAAGAAAATGTGTCCATTTAAGTTCAATTCCTGAGAATGTTAATGTTCCAGACTGACCCTGACCTTCCCCCATCAAAGGTGCCCTTGTTTCCAACAATCCACCCTCTCACTAGCTAACTAGGACTTACCCTTCGGAGCTCTGCCATCATTTCCTGAGTTTCTAGCAATTGTGTGTCGGACTTCCCATGTGGGGCCAACACATGTGTTAGGGTTGGGGCTGGATCTCCCAGCTGCGTGCTTCCATGGCACGGGTAATCTCTTTCTTAATAGTCCTTCCATTTGTACATCTGCCTTCCCAATCAAACACTGGCCCACTGTTTTGCTTATCAGGGTATCCCAGCACTTTGCAGAGATCTGGCACAAGACAGACATTTGATAAGTACTTACCAGAATTAAATAGAATATGACTTAAATGGAGAGAACTGACTTGTTTTACAGAACATCGCACAGGGGACCAACAAAGTCATGAGAGCTGCTTAAGGTCACAATGTTCCTTCCTGGCAAGGCCAGAGAGAAGACAAGCAGTGGAGTGGTTCCCAGCCATACTTGTCCTGAGGGATCCCACTTATTTGTTCTACTCAAGGCTCGGCACAGGCTGGGGCCTGGGTAGCCTAACTCACTGCCGATACCCCAGGACTTGTAGGGGTCGGTGGAAGAGCTCGACAAAGGTCCCAAGGAGCGAAAGGAGGAGAATTTCAAATGCCACTGTAAAAAGTTTCACAGGGGAAGGATGTTTTAAGGATGCCCTCGCTTTAACCCGGAAAGGCTTCTCCATGGGTGCAAGCAGGCACACGTTTGCCAAGTAACCTCCGAGACTCTAACTGCTTCCAAACTGGGAAACTGAGGCCCAGGAGGCAGAGGGAGGCGTCCTCAGGTGCCAGCAGAGGAGACCAGGAACCGTGGCCCGACTCTTCCCCGCGGTGGTCGTCTTGGCTTCTGCTGTGCGCTGGCCGGGGTCGGCACCGGGAAGGGTGGGGGACGGAGGCGTGGTGGGGGGTCCGGCCCCCCGGAGGGTCAGGGAACCCTGCAGCACCGCGGGTCACGCCTGGGTGTCCGGGAAGCCGGAGGGCGGGTCCGGGCGGCGGAAGCCACCCGGGCGCCCGATTCAACAGCGCCCGTGCTGTCTCCCCCGCGCCGCCCGGGGCTGCGATCGCGCTTTGCCAGGCAGCGGAGCGGGGCCTCCCTCGGCGCGGGCTCGGGGATCGCCCGCAGGAGTCGCCGCTTGCGTCTCGCAGTCCCCGGCCCGGAGCACACTTCCTTGTTCCCGAACCTCAGACGTGTCGTCTCGCGAGGCTCAGCCGCCCGCCGAAGCCTCGGCCCTCCCTCCGCGCAACTCCGAGGTCCCCGCGGCGCTGCGGCTGGAACCCGGGCCCTGCGCTCCAGCCCGGCGTCGCTCCCGCTGCTCTGCCCGGCCGCCGGCCCGCGCTGTCGGGGGTGGGGAGCGAGGTGAGCGCCGGGAGAGCCCGCCACGTGGAGCGGGGGAGGGGTGCTTCGGGAGCCGTGTTTACCCGCGGGGGTGTCCCGGGGGTCGGGGCCGCTGGCTGTCCCCCTGCACTGTGTGTGCGGGCTTGCCTCCGGACCGACCGGGAATTCGGCGAGGAGCGAGGATAACATATTTTACCGAACTTGAGCCACGAGCCCGCATTAGTTCTAGGTAACTCCTCGGTTCATAGCTTTCCTGCTGCCCTGCGGTTTTACACGCCTCCTCAGATGGCAAAGCTGGCTTGGAAAGCGGAGGAGCTCACAGCCGCGGGCAGGAGGAGACCACCCTCTCCTGGCACCTGTGCTTTGCCAGGCCCTGGAGCTCTGCAGGGTGCCTGCCCTTGGGAGACCCTCAGTCGTCCTCCCCTTCCCCCCCCCCCCCCCCCCCCCCATCGCCAAGTAATCTCGGGCCCTTTAGCCCTGTTGACAGCAATCACCGAAAGACCCCTGGGACTCCGGGCTCTTTCTGCTTAAGTCAGAACATTTTTCCCTGGTGTTTTGAAATCGAGGTCAGCAAGAATGGAAAAAGAACGCTGGCGACTCGGCAGGCTGCAGAATGAAAAAGTCCCATAAATGTAAAACAAGGGAAAGCAGCTATATGTTACCCCATATAAAAGTAGCAAGCCCAGCCCCTGGCCCCAAAGAGCTCTTTAACAGGATTTACTTGCTGAAGCCGTTGGACTTACGGTTACCACTAGTAAGGGACGTAGGAAATGGTGAATATATAGACATAAGGAAAGGGGGAGCCAAGAATGGGAAGGACCGCTAGACTCCCAGTTCAGTTCTGCTGTGTGAAAGCCCTTCTTTTCTGAATGCTGAATTTGGGCCCTGAATACTTTTGTCCTTTTGCAGATGTTCACTCTGCCTCAGAAGGAATCCAGGGCACCTGCCACCTGCCCGGGCCCAACCTCCATCCAGGATCTAGACAGTAACTATGGGGATGATCTGGAAAGAGAATGCTCCAGAAAACCAGACCGGAAGCTGCCAGAGTACTGTGGAGCGAGTGGTCCCACTGCCATGTTGTCCTCGGACAGCTCCTGCCTGTCCTCGAGAGGAAGAGTCATTAAGTGGTTCTGGGACTCGGCAGAGGAGGGCTACAGGACCTACCACATGGACGAGTATGATGAGGATAAGAACCCCAGTGTGAGTGAGACCCCTGTGCTCACTGGAGCCCAAGGGAAGACTGCAGGGTGGGATGCTCTACCTTGACCAAGAAGTTGTTCTAGATGCTGGGGTTGCAACTGTGAGCAAAAGCAAAATTCCTGCCTTTGTGGAGTTTTTGTTCTAGAAGGGGAGGCAGATGGGGAGCAGACCAAAAAACATCCCTATAATGATAATAAGTGCTATAGAGAAAATAAGGCAGAGTGAAGAGGATAGAGAATGATGAGGCGGTCTGGAGATGTTGCTGTTTTATGTAAGGTGGTCACAGATGGCCACTTTCCTAAGGTGACAATTCGAGTGGAGACCTGAGGAAAGCAAAGGATTATATTAGTTACCTGTTGCTGTGTAACAAATTACCTCAGATTTCAGCAGTTTAACAGACGCATTTCATAATTTCTGGGGTTCAGGCTCTGGGTGGGTGTCTCAGGCTCGGAATCTTCTGTGAACCTGCATTGAAGCCATGGTTGTGGTCTCATCTTAGGCTTGACGTGGTCGGGGTCTGGGGAGAGGATCGCTTCCAGGCTCGTTGGCGTGTGTGTTGGAAGGCTCCAGTCCCTCGTCACATGGGAATCTCCACAGACTGCCATGTGACATGGCAGCTGGCTTCCCAGAGCAGGCGCTCTGAGAGAGAAGGAGACACCATGCATACCCAGGATGGAAGCCAGGGCCTTTATAACCTATTCTTGCAAGATGTCCCATCTGCATATCTTGTTTGTCAGAAGTGGGTCAGTAGGTCTGACCCACACTCACGGGGAAGGGATTACACACAAGGGTGTGGACACCAGGAGGTGGGGATTGCTTCCTGGGAGCCATCTTGGAGGCTGCCTATCCCAGCGAGCCCTGCAGATACCTGGGGCGGGGAATGTTCCAGGCGGAGGGAATAGCCGGTGCTAAGGCTCCAGGTGAATCTGTGCTTGATGAGTTCAAGGGACGGCACAGAGGCCACGATGGCTGGAGTGAAGCCCCGCGACTGGCAGGGGACGAGGTCAGAGAGATCAGGCGGTGGCCTGGAGATGGAGACTGTGGCGTCATGGGACGCGGACAGGCTTCTGGTTTGCGACACAGCACAGTGGAAGGCGTTGGGAGGAGGAGCAGTATGATCTGATTTTGGCTTTCAGAAGAGGCCTGGGGCTTAGGCTGCTGTGTGGAGGTCGGGGTGAGTGCAGGCCGGCAAGGAAGGAGGGAAGCCATCGCAAGAAGGGAGACAGGAAGCTCTGGCGGCTCGACAGAGGTCTTAGCCATGGAGTTGAGATGACGTTGGGCTGTACACATATTTCTTTTCTTTTCTTTTCTTTTTTAAAGCTTGTATTTATTTATTTGACAGACAGAGATCACAAGTAGGCAGAGAGGCAGGTGGCGGGGGGAGGGGGGAGCAGGTTCCCTGCTAAGCAGAGAGCCTGATGCGGGGCTCGATCCCAGGACCCTGAGATCATGGCCTGAGCTGAAGGCAGAGGCTTTAACCCACTGAGCCACCCAGGCGCCCCTGAACACGTATTTCTAAGGTAGAAGTGACAGGATTTGTGAACAGATTAGCTGTGAGCAGAGGAGCCTACTGCTCTGTTCCTCAGAGAGTGAAGGAGCCATGCCTTTTATTGGTCAGAATATTGGCTCATTCAAGCTTGGCTTCCATATCCTGCTTCCTTCCTCATTGCCCCAATACCTCAGGGGTCAGGGGTTAGAGAGCATGAGTTTCCCTGGGGACTCTATGGGCGACTTGAGTTGTGCCTTCCCCACTCTCGCTCCTATGAGTGGGTGCCTCATGGGGTGGGATCAAGGCGGTGTGTGGTTGCACACAGTCTCCCAGGGGACCATTTCTGCCAGCTACGGAGCCCTTCCTGCTCCGCATGTATCCTTGTTCCTGGTCCTCCCAGAGCACTGCTTTACGTTGTACCTTGTTTTGTACCACAAACATGTATCGGGTCTTACTAACTGGTGGTTTCTTGGGTGTGCATCCCCTTCAGGGACCTTCCCATCCAGTGGGGGACATAAAGCATGTCCGTCTGTCCTTGTGACCTGGAGGCAGAGAGTGAGCAGTGCTCTACAGGGGGACAGATCATGAGTTTTGTGTTCCAGAAGAAGGAAAGATCCTTTCTAGCTGGGGTTCTGGGGAGGTTTCCTGGAGGAGATGGCCTTTGAACAGAGCTTTAGAAATGGGAAGATGGACCAGGTTGCTGAGAGGAGGTGGGGCTCAACAAGGCTAAGGAAGGGGGTTTGGGAGGGTGCGATCGTTCCCGCTTTGCTTTTCTGCCTCCGTGTGCATTTCAGGCCTTTCCCTTTGGGACCACTTGGCTATGCTCACTCTGCCTCCGTATCTCTCTCTCCAGGGCATCATTAATTTGGGCACCAGTGAAAACAAACTCTGCTTTGACCTGCTCTCCACACGGGTAAGTCCGGTACATGTCTGGGAGCCATCAGCAGCTCCCAGGGCCCGTCTGCTCTTGGACTTCCTGGAAGGCTTCCCTGACCAGAGTCTTCCCCTTGCCTCTGCACCCCTGGCCTGAGAGTCTGCTCACCCCGGTTCCAGATCTGCCTCAGGGACAACTTTCTCTGTGATCTTGGGCCAGTCACTTCCCTGTTCTGCTCCTGCTTTACCTCTTCCCATACTCAGTCCCTCCTGTTGCCTGGGTCCTGCTCTCCCAGCAGGGTGGCGGTGGTGAGGGGACACTCAGTGGGGTGTGGTCAGCATTTAACAACTGCCTCTGGGGTAGGGAGGACTCTGATTTGTAGATTTTGCCAATTCTCATAGTGTAAATACTCCCGGCTGATTTCAAGCCACGGATGTGACGTCCTTGCACACAGAGATGGAAAAAAGATTTGTAGTGTCCCCACCATGCAGACGCAAAGATGGAAATAACCTCAAGAACACACGTAAACATGTAGTAACATAGGGATGCCTGGGTGGCTCAGTCGGTTAAGCGTCTGCCCTCTGCTCAGCTCCTGATTCCAGGGTCCTAGCACAGAGTCCTGCATTGGGCTCCCTGCTCAGCGGGGAGCCTGCTTCTTCCTCTGCCTGTCACTCCCCCTGCTTGTGCATAGGCTCTCTCTTTCTCTGAGAAAGAAATAAAATCTAAACAAAATGTAGTAACATAATCAGAAGCAGTGATATTTTAGTTACTATGCTTGTTTTTAATGCAATTTACTTATTTATACATTGACATAATTTAATTTTTTTAATGGCTGTTTTTTTTTAAACACAGCGTGTAAAATTCCTGGAAATGTAAGAAGCAGATTTCTTGAGCTGGTCCGAGCCCTTTCTAGCAAACCACTGAAAATGCCTGATAGATGTGTCTCCCAAGGCCACAGACTCCAAGTTTGGGATTGTAGAGAGAGCGACGCACACCCCAAAGGAACTTATTTCTGAGGGTGGCAAATCCAAGACCCAAGGGGAAAGGGGTGTAGGAAGGGGGCTCAAGATGCCTGTCCTATCCAGCCAGTTCCCTGCTGCACTGTCCAACAGAGATAAAATGTGAGCCATGTATGTAATTTAAAATTTTCTATTAGATAAGTAAAAAGAAACTGGTAAATTCATCTTAGTAATTAATGTATTTTATTTACCTCCATATATTGAAAATAGGACCATTTCAACATGTAATCAATCTAAAAAATTAAGAAATGTTACATACTGTTTTCATATCACGTTTTTCAAATCCAGTGGGTCTCAGTTCAGACCAGCCACATTCCAGGTGCTCAGGGGGCTCACGTGACTGTGGCCTTCCCACTGGACGGTGCGGCTCTCCGGGCGGCAGGACAGACGGGAAGGGTTGGAGTCATATACAAGTGGCTGACTGCCCTTCTTCTTTTGGTCCACTCCCTAAGACTTCTGCCTTTCTTTGACATTGTGTCTGTGATGCCCGGGGAATTACTAACCCAGCGCCTGGTCAGGGTGGGGATGGTGTAGAAACGGCCACACTTTCCAAAGCGTAAAGTTGAGCTGAGCCTGCAGGAACACAATGGCCCGAATCCCTCCAGAAGTCGGAGCCAACACCGAGGGGATGGCGCCCAACTCTGGGATCCCTTCTGTCACCCCAGGGAGCAGCTGAGTAGCATGGTCTCTATCACTGCTTCTACCAATCCATCCCTCTGGGTTATTTATGTATTTATTTATTCAAAAGATTTCTTTATTTATTTGAGAGAGAGCATGCGCACATGCAAACATGGGGAGGGGCAGAGGCAGAGAGAGAGAGAGGGAGAGAATCTCAAGCAGACTCCCGGCTGAGCAGGGAGCCCGACATGGGGCTCGAACTCATAACCCTGAGATCATGACACAAGTGGAAATCAAGAGTCAGATGCTTAACCGATGTGCCCCCACTCCTCGGGGTTTTTTAGATGGCAGTGTTGTAAACAGAGCACTGGGTTAGGAGTCAGACCTTCTGGGTTTTGTCTTGGCTCTGCCACTTGCTAGCTCCGTGACATTGGCTGAGTCACCTCACTTTCTGAAGCCTCGGTTTCCTCCTCTGCAAAACAGGCAGGAGAAGGCTGTGCCCGTGCTGCCTCTCCCCTCGTTTCTCTGATGAGCAGACCAAGCCCAGGCTTTCGTGGTGGGGGCCGTGTGGATGTGGGTGGAAGCGCCACGCCGGCGGTCACCCCGAGGGTGTATGGCGCTCAGCCTGCCCTTCCCTCTGTCCCCAGCTGAGTCAGAGCGACATGCTGCGGGTGGAGCCGTCCCTGCTGCAGTACCCCGACTGGAGGGGACATCTGTTGTAAGTAGCTGCCTCGGGCTGGTGGTTCCCAGCCCGGGGGTTGGTCTTGCTCCCAGGGGACATAGGACATCTAGGACATCTGGAGACACTTTTTTTTTTTTTTTAAAGATTTTATTATTTATTTGACAGAGAGAGAGATCACAAGTAGGCAGAGAGGCAGGCAGAGAGAGAGAGGGGGAAGCAGACTCCCCACCAAGCGGAGAGCCGGATGTGGGGCTCAATCCCAGGACCCTGGGATCATGACCTGAGCTGAAGGCAGAGGATTTAACCCACTGAGCCACCCAGGCGCCCTTCTGGAGACACTTTTGCTTGTCCCAGCTGGGAAGGGGCTCCTCAGGCATTTACTGGGTAGTGGCCGGCCCTCATAACAAAGAATTATCCCGCCCCGGATGTGACTATGGCAGGTGGAGAAAACCTTCCTTGGGCCGAGGGCCATCCTGGAGGTCTGGCAATCATGGGGTTTCCTGGAGTGTCTGTGGGGTACCAGGGCCTCTGCGGGTCTCACCACAGCTTGGGAGCTCCCTCACTTGCTTCCATGGGTCTGAGGCAGGCAGAGGGCCTTCAGGCATGGAGTCCTTCTCCCTGCTCTCCCAGTAGTTTTAGAGGAAGCAGGATCAGCTTCGGGGGCTGCTGGTGGGGGCAGCCCCACCCACTTTTCCTCCTGGTCCAATGGGGCGAGTTCAATAATGCTAATTGGAGCTGGTACTTAGTGAGCACTTGCTGGAGCGGCTGCTGTTCCAGGGGCCAAGCAGGACTGGATTCCAAAGCGTTCGTTCCTAGGTAATGAGGATGGTGGGCCCTGGAGATAGCCCACTGCCTTGAGTGTGGGCTCTGCCACTTACCAGCAAGTGACTTATCTCCTTCAAGCATCCGTTTCTTTGTCTGTAAAATGGGAATAATAACAGCATCATAGGATTGTTATAAAGATTAAATGAGTAAAATTCCCCACGTAATTCCTGCATGATGGAAATGGTCCAACCGTGACTCTGACGATAGTTACCGTTATGATAGCATTACTATTACTAGCTAGATCTATGTGTAGGTGGAGTGTTACTTTTCATATCCCTGAGGCCAGGGGATTAAGGGGGTCGGGTGTCCTAGAACTACAGAGAATGCAAGTGTCCATGTGTGGGTAGTGATGGGGCAGGGGACTGGTAGGTCCTGCGACATGGAGGCCACGCCGATCCCGCTGCCTGCATGGGAAATCAGAGAAGGATGATGGTGTCTGTGTGAAGATTCACCGGGGGAGCTCTGGGACAGACTGTGGGTTGGGGATCCTCTGGCAAACAGTGATCATCTCTCCGTCTGATCTCTAGCCTCCGGGAGGAAGTGGCCAGATTCCTGTCTTTCTACTGCAAGAGCCCCAACCCCCTTAAACCAGACAATGTGAGTTGCCCCCTCCTCTGCTCTCCCCTGTTCTTCCACCCACCTCCCCCAATTTTGACTGGGCAGGGGTAGGGTGGGCTTGGGATCTGCCTTCCACTCGATTTTGGGCTGTTTCCGGGTAGAATTAGGAGCACCCCTGCCCTTTGTCTTCCTCATCCTAGATATTGAGGACCTAATTTGGTTAGAGTTTCTGCTCCAGTTTGTTCAATGCTCCCTCCTTGCCTCCGTACCTTCAGGCAAGACTCTCTGAGTGATCAGCTCCCTCTTCTTGTTCTGTTGATCCAGAGCGGGGCCCAAAGGATAAGCAACACAGGCACTTGGCTGTCAGTCAGGAGAGGCCTTTGGCTTCCTCTGGTGGCTTTGCTGTGACCGAGCCACACAGGGCACCAAGTTGGGACCCAGCCCCCGCTCCCTGCTAGCCTGGGTACAGCTGTAGGTCCTTGCTCCCGCCTGGATGGATACTCATCTTTGTCAGCGTGGATGTGTCACCCACAGGTGGTTGTCCTGAATGGCTGTGCTTCTCTCTTCTCTGCTCTGGCCATGGTGCTGTGTGAGACAGGGGGTAAGTGACCCATGGCCTGCTCAGCTTTGGGGGCTGCCCTATGCCTGCGGTGCCCACAGTTGCCTGTCTTTGTGGCCTGTGTCAGAATGCCTTTGGCCATAGCCAACGACGAGGCTGCAGGGGGCTTAACGAGCGGCTTGACCGGATGTCTGGTCAAGATACCTGGATGTCCACAGTTTTGGAGGAGGTCGACGTGATGCCGGGGTTCGGGGCTTGTCTCTGTGATGACCTTGGTTTTTCCTTTCATGTGCAGGCTGTCAGTGGGTCCTAAAGGCAGGGAGAAAGGGGAAAGGTTGTGCCTCGCCTGTGTCTTTGTTTTATTGGGAGGGGGCAAGGGAGATACTCTTTCCCAAAGAAAGTCCCAGCGGAGCTCCCCTTTATGTCTTCGTGGCCAGAGCCGCTGCACAAACCCATTCCCAGAGCAGCCCCAGGCAGACGGGATAAGTTTGGTTGACTTCAACCAAGCATGGTTCCTCCCCAGAGGCTAGCAGAAGGCCCTGTTTCCTCGGACTTACTGCTGGTCATTTCTGGGAAATCTGGTGCTCTCTTAGCCAGAAAATTGGAATGGCTGGTGAGTAGGCAGCCAGTAGTGTCCCTCAGGATCCATAGTGGGACTGAGAGCAGGTCCCGATCGGGCTCATTGTCACCAGAACAGAGGCCCCCTCATGCCAGCTTCGCTAACAGGGATTCTGGGTGATAATTACTGACCACGTGTTATGTTGCGGGCACAGCCTAAGGCTTTACACATAGGCCCGTTTAATCCTCACTTCTCGCCTCTGAGGTGGGTTCTGTGCTGTCCCCACATCCCGGATGAGGACATTAGGGCACAGGGGCTTACATGACTTGTCAAATTCACATACAGAGACAGGACCCAGGATTTGAACCATAAGAAGAAGATTCGTCGCAAGGATAGGATAGGCGATTTCCTACCTGTTCTCGAACAGCCAAGAACGGGGTCAGTGTCACACTGTCCACCTCTCACAGGGGTAGGGTCCTCCCCTCTGTATCTGCAAACCTCTCTCTGGACCTTCCTCAACTCCACCCACTCATGACCCTTCTGCTCAGGTGTACATGCTCAACCTCACGGGCGTCTGTGCTTCCTGGAGCATGTCGTGAGAGAGAGCCTGTGCCAGGTTTCTGGCCCGCCAGTGCCTTGGCTCCCTCGGGTCCCTCGTTTCCCTCCTGTCCACTCCCCATGGCTGGGCTGGGGAACATGTAGGACAAAGCTGCCCCTTCCGGAGCTGTGAGTGGGGTGGGCCGGGGGAAGGGAGGGCAGCTTGCCCGCGTATCCCCTTCAGAACTGGAGGGACGCCTGCCTCTGCCTCAGGGTAGACCTTGGAGGTCATCAATACTCCCCCATTCACAGCTAGAATGTTCCACACGACGTGCTTCCCCACCAGATGGCCTCAGCCTTGTGTTTGAATGTCCCCAGGGAGGGAGAACCCGCTCGTCCTGAACACACTCTCTCTCTCTGGGCAGTTCTGCCTGCTGTCCCGTTTGTCCATCTGTCGAGCCCAGATCACCCCGCAGCTTCAACTCCCTGGATCCGGGTCTGTCCTTGGAGTGAGTTAGCACGTGGGGTGCTTCAGAGGGACCCTCCGAGGTTCAGTGACCTCATCGGGAAAGTGAGGGTGACAGGAGTACTGACATCACAGAGCTACTGTGAGGACCAAATGAGATGACACACAAATATATGTTTAGCCCAGTTTCCAGCACGTAATAAGTGTTCAGTAAATGTCAGCTACTGATGATCAGAGAAGGGGCTCATCTCAGTGGATCCAGGTGTTAGAGCTTGGGAGTTGAGAGACAGAGTGTATGCCTGGGGTTCCCCCAAGGACATGGAAGGCTGGGGAGGCCAAGTGGAGCCTGTGGGTGATGGGGGACTAGGGTGATCTGGCTGGAGGATGACAGGCCCTGAACCATTCCTTCCCTCAGAGGCTTTCCTGATCCCTGCACCTTACTATGGGGCCATCACACAGCACGTCTATCTTTATGGCAACGTCCGGCTGGTGTGTGTCTATCTGGAAAGTGAGGTAAGAGTTCTTCCTCTCTGTGAGTTTGAGGGCAGCCGTGGGAGGGAGTCCATGCCGAGATCACGGCTGCAAGGAGGGTGGAGCCCTCTGTTGCCCATGGTGGTCCATACCTGGGTTCCCCTGGGGCTCCCCAGGTCCCAGCTCTGAGATCTCTGGGTCAGCATAGAAGCCAAGGGCAGCCGCAGGGAGACTCCATCAAAATGGTGGGGTGAGGAGGGGACAGAGCAGACCTCAGCGTGTAACTTCTTGGACACCAATCAGAGGGTCTCTGGGGCCTCTTCCTGACTGAGAGTGCTGAGCTATCCCTGATGTGATGGCATGGCCGGCAATGAGGGGAGGGACCCTGCCAGGGTTTTTTCAGAGACTGTTCCAAGGAGGCTAGAGATGACTGTTAGGAGAGGCCCCAGAAGCTCAGGTTCGGGGGAATCGCTGAATTGGGCCGGTGACTTTTCTCTCTCTTTTTCCAGGTCACTGGGCTGGACACACGTCCCTTCCAGCTCACCGTGGAGAAGCTGGAGATGGCCTTGCAGAGAGCCAATTCTGAGGTCTGGGGGTCAAATCAATCCCAAGGCTGGGTCTGGGCAGGGCACAGACTTCCGGTGGCTGATCTCATCCTGGGTGTGGAGTTGGCACTCCGTGGTGGGGTTGGGGTGTCAGATGGCCCCAGAGAACCATTCTGGGGGTCCATCAGGAGCCTACCAGTGGAGGGTCTTCCCACTAGAGAAAGATTCTGAGACCCGTGGGAACTCGAACACCCCTACCCCTGCTCCAACTGACTTTGGTCAGGGGGTCGAGTGTGGAGCTTAGTGGTGTGCCGTTCAGCAGTCTCCCTGGTGATCCGAGGACCTGATTCCCCTGTCGCGTCCCTCTTTGAGGGGACCTTCTGAAGAAAGGCAGAGATGAGGGTTACTCCTCCCGTGGTTCCTTTCCAGTCTGTGGCCAGTATGGTCACACATGCCTCCTGTAGGAATCTGAAAGTGCAAACCCCCGCCCATTGTTCTGCCAACAGAGGCAGCCTTCACTGGCATTTGGGCCTCTTGCCTCTGGGCTTTGTTCTCTGCCTCTGTTTTCTTTCCTGGCTGACACATTTGCACGTATGATATCTGCTGCAGATACGTAATTCTCTGCCCTTACCTGCTTCACGCTGGGTCCTGAACACGTTCCCATCCCATCTCCCCCGGATCCCACCCAGCCGCCAGCCCCAGTCAGTGGGAGCGTGTGGCTCTGGTCTTTGGGAGGAGCTGAGTGTTTCCTGCCCCACTGGTGCTTTCAGGGTGTGAAGGTCAAAGGTCTCATCCTCATCAACCCCCACAACCCTCTGGGTGACATCTACTCCCCAGGAGAGCTGCGGGACTACCTGGAATTTGCCAAGAGGTGAGGCACCCCGCAGTCACCCCACAAAAACGTCCTGGCAGATCAGGCTACGGGCGCAGGCCTTGGTATGGACTCTTCTACCCTGTTCACTCCTCTGTGGGCCTCCACCCGCTTTTGCCCTTCCCCAGCACTGGGATGGGGGGCAGGGTTTGTGGGGGTGCTAGGGTTCTCTCTCCCTCTTTCTTTCTAGGTAGGAAAACAGCTGTCCTACATTTTGCCCCCCAGGGGCCAGGAGCCCTTCTAAGCTCTTCACATGCTGTATCTCATGCAGTCCTCCCAGTCACCCTATTAGTCATCACGTGGTCATGGTCCCCAGGTTGCCGAGCCCTCAAGTGAGGAGTGGAGCCAGACTCGAATCTGGGTCTGTCTGTACAAACCTGGTTTGCACTCAGTTGGGCCCTTCTTTTGCGGATGTGCCCGAGGCCTTTGCCTCTCCTCCGAGGTGCTTCAGAAGCCCATCATCTGCGTATGGATCTTCCTGTGTGAAGCGTTAGACACAGGGGAAGGTGTTTCTGGAACAAAGTTTGGCAGCCCTGGGCCCTACCATGGTCCACTGGGTTTCTCAGTCATTGCTTCCCCACCACGGGGGACCTATTTGACCCGCAGACCAAGCTGTCTCCTCCCCGGCCCTGCCCCTCCAGGCATGAGCTGCACGTGATGGTGGATGAGGTCTACATGCTATCCGTGTTCGAGAAGCCAGCGGCCTACCGCAGCGTCCTGAGCCTGGAAGGGTGAGGCTGCTCTGCCACAGCCACAGGCCCGGCTCTGCCAGCCCCTGGTCCCCCGGTCCCTGGTGGCCCCGCCCACATGATGTGACCTGTCCCGGGGCAGCTCCCTTCCATCCCACTGATTTGATCCCACTGTCCCCAGACCCGGTGAGGAGAAGATGGGAGGGCCGGGCTACATCAGGGTTTCTGAGAACTCCAGGGAGGGGCTGGGCCGTAGGCTTCCTGGGGTGGAGGGGCTGCGAAGGTGGGAGCTGGCCTCCTGTGCTGTCCGCTCATCTCCAGAGTGGCTTCAGCTGCATCCATCCATCCACCCGCTCGTTCGCTTGCTCCGCCCATCCTTCTGCAGCCCCAGCCCCATGCCAAGCACTTCTAGCTGTTTGGGCGTTTTCATTAGATTTAGCCTGAACCAAGAATCTGGGCTGAAGGAGTTTTGGAGACTCTTGGACCAGATCACCCGCAAAGTCTATAAATGCGGCATTGAGAGACTCTCACGGTTCCTGGTATGTGTTCAGAACTTTGGACCCCGTGAAGTCCTTTCCATTGGTTCTCTCAGTGGGTCCTTGCGAGGCTCTGCCAAGCGCATGGTTGCGACTCCTGTTTGTTTATGGAGTAGGACAGTGAGGCGCAGAAAATGAACGACTTGTCACCTCCTCTGTGCCAGACCCTGCTTGGTGCTGGGATATAACAGGGACTGAGAAAGACGTAGGCCCCTCTCAAGCGGAACTTTTATTTCTAGCCAGAAAAAACATTTTGAAGATTTTATTTAGTTGAAATAAATGAAAGACTCCACACATGCAGGAGGGAGAGGGAGAGAGAGCCTTAAGCGGACTCATGCTGAGGGCAGAGTCTGATGTGAGGCTCAATCCCACAACTGTGAGATCATGACCTAAGCCTCGACCAAGAGTTGGATGCTTAACCGACTGAGCCAGCCAGGTGCCCCCAGAAAAAAACATTTTAGTGGCGAAATACACAGTCATTTGATTGTGGCTGTGATAAGTGCTAAAAAGGACAAGTCTGGGGAGGCATGAGGGGATCTGCTTGGGGTCCCCATGGGCCCAGGCTGCTGCGAGTGGTCAGAGAAGGTCTGTTTGAGGAAGTAGAACTTGAGCTGAGCTCTAGATCAGGGATCAGAAAGTATTTTTGAATTAGATGTCAAATATTTTAGCTTTACAGGCCTATGGTCTCTCACTCAACTCTGCCATATGGCACGAAAGCAGCTATAGTATGTACATGAAAAAGCATGGCTGTGTTCCAGTAAAGCTTTATTTACAAAAACAGGCTGTGGGCTGGGTTTAGCCTGCAGGCTGTATTTTGCTGACCCTGACTCTAAAGGATGTGTAGGAATTGATGATTCAAAAAGGTGAAACCAGGGCTTCACACAGACACAGAACTAAATTCATCCAAATGTGTATGAGCTTTTGTGGATCTGCATTGCCTCTGTCCCCACCTGTATTCTCTGCAGGCTGCCTGACCCCCAGAGGACCCACGTGATGTGGGCGACCAGCAAGGTAGGTTTCTGGCTAGCCTCGGGGATGTCAGGGAAGTGGGAGGGCATAGAGGTGGGTGGAACCAGCTTCCTTGGTGGAGGGCTGGCCACTGCCCAGGTGTGCCTTTCTCTGCAGGACTTCGGGATGTCTGGGCTCCGCTTCGGCACGCTCTACACGGAAAACCGGGACGTGGCCACTGCGGTGGCTTCCCTCTGCCGCTATCACGGCCTCAGTGGTTTGGTCCAGTACCAGATGGCACAGCTGCTCCGGGACCGTGGTGACTGCCTGGGCCTGGTCATTTGAGAATGGGGGGTGGAGAGGTTATAGTCAGTTGGGAATGGGCCAGGGATCATGGGTGCTTCTTGCATGAGAAGATTTGGGGTGGTGTTCGAGAACCCAGGGCCACGACTGGTTCATAGCCCACTCCGTCACTTCCTGACCATGTGGCACACTACTTCACTTCCCCAAACCTCAGTTCGTGTGATTTGTCAATTCGAATAGCACCTGGCATATCATAGGCACTTGGTCAACGTGAACTCATCATTATTAGCTGTGAGCGCTTGAAAAAAGAGAAAGTAGAAGCAACAAAGGGAAAACAGTTATAACGGGAGTATCTCTGCCTACGAGGATCTCAGCTAATGGGTCTAGATAGCAAAGGGGATCTATAATTGCCACCTTGTAGTGAGCCCTGCTAGATGTTCTCATTGCGTCATCTTATTTCCCAGAATCCTAGGATGCAGACATTTCCTGCCTTTCCCCTGGTATTTTATAGATGTGGAAATGATTATACACGTGCTAGAATAGCCAAAATTTAAAACGACAGTGACCCTATCACATGTTGGTGAGGATGTGGAGCAGTGGGAACTCTCACGCTGCTCGCGGGTTGGAAGGTGTTGTGGCCACTTTGGAGAGCCAAGTTGCTTGCCGAGTTAAACCCACACTTACCACGTGGCCCAACTATCCCACTCCCAAGCTGTTTATCCTCATGGTCGCACAAAACCCTCCGTGTGAAAATTTATAGCTGCTTTGTTCACAATCACTCCCAAATATTCTTCCATGGGGGAAGGAGGGAACAAAGTGGGACACATCTGTACAATGGAATAGGGCTCTGTGGCGAGGTCCAGGGCAGTACACAGTAAGCTCAAGTGCATTGTGCTGTGTGAAGAAGGCCAGTCTCCAAGGGTGACATGACTGTATGATTCCACTTCGGTGACATTGTTGAAGAGGCAAGACAGGTGACAGAGAACTGACAGACCAGTGGTTGTCAGGGGCAGGGGAGTGTTGGGACTATGAACAGCATGAGGGTGCTCTTTGGGGCCAGGGAACTGTTCGGTGTCCTGCCTGCAGGTGGTGGGTTACACAGATGTATACCTGTGTTAAAAATGCATCAAAAGGGGGGTGGGGTTCCTGGGTGGCGCCGTCAGTTAAGCATCAAACTCTTGGTTTAGGCTCCGGTCACGATCTCAGGGTTGTGAGGTCGAGCCCCGCAGTGGGCTCCGCGCTGGGTGTGGAACCTGCTTGAGATTCTCTGTCTCCCGTTCCCTTTGCCCCGTCTGCACGCTCGCTCTATAGCTCTCGCTTTCTCTCGCTCTCAGAAAAAAAAAAAAAAAAATCAAATCATTTGAAAACCCTCATCAAATGGGACACCAAAGAAAGTTAATAAAAAGCTGAGGATGGGGAGGTGAAGTTGCCCCAGGCCCCACCTCTTGTCAGGGGCCAGGCTGGGACCTGAACGGCAGCCTCCGGGGCTCGGAAGCATCTGTGTGTGCGTGGGCCTTCCGTTAGGATCTGCATCCCGGGGGACCCTGTGTGTGCAGGGCTGGCAGCTGTGAGGCCAGCTACCTGGATTTCCAGTGCTTTCTACGGGACACGGACTATTCGTGCGGCCCCACCCCCACCAGCTGGAGAAAGGATCTTGGCAACTCGTGGCCCTTCTCTTGTCAGCATTGGGACTTGTGGGGCAGTGGTGAGGGCTGGTGAGAGAGTTCTTTGTTGGTTTCTCTTTTCCCCCAAACAGACTGGATCAACCAGGTGTACTTACCGGAGAACCATGCCCGGCTCAAGGCTGCTCACGCCTATGTGGCAGGAGAGCTCCAGGCCCTGGGCATCCCCTTCCTGAGCCGAGGGGCAGGCTTCTTCATCTGGGTTGACCTGAGGAAGGTAACACAGGTGGGGCTGCATGGGTGGGGGAAGCGGGGAGAGTGGTTGAAGCCTCTCTCTGGCAGGTGAAGGGCAGGGGTGTATCCTCTCCCACCTGAGCCCCTGCCACCCTCCCAGTTCCTGCCCGAGGCCACCTTTAAGGCAGAAATGCTGCTTTGGCGCCGCTTTTTGGACAACAAGGTGCTGCTGTCCTGTGGCCAGACCTTTGAGTGTAAAGAGCCCGGCTGGTTCCGCTTGGTCTTCTCGGACAAGGCCCACCGGCTTCGCCTGGGTAAGCGACCTGCCCTCCTCGCCGCACCCTTCACTCTGCCCTCCCGCTTCTCATCCCACCTGTGGCTCCAGCAGCCTCAGCTTGTCCGTCTTGCCGACCGAGCCGCCAGTGCCAAGGGGCTGTCCCTTCTCCTTCCCAGGGATGCAGAGGGTCCGGCAGGTGCTGGAGGACAAATCCCGGGTGGCGGAAGAGCCCTCTTCTTGTCAGACCCAGGAGCCAAGGAGTTAGCACAGGTGAGCTGGTCATCACTTGGTGACAGTAGGGCCTGGTGACAGCAGGGCCTGGCAGCCACCGTGAATCTGAGCCATTTGGGGCTATGGAGACCCACGGCAGATGGGCCATTTGTCAGGAGGGAACCCAACGTGACCTCACCCTCGAAGAAGAACCATTCCTGGCCCCGCTCAGGGCATGGGATAGACTCCTCCAGCCTTGCTGTGCCTCGGCCCCTCCCCCTCTATTAAACAGAACTGGAAGAAACTAGGAGCCTCTGTTGTAATTTTTAAAAAAACTTTATTTTATTTACTTTCAGTGTTCCAGAATTCAGTTTATGCACCACACCCAGTGCTCCATGCAGTACGTGCCCTCCATAATACCCACCACCATCCGCCACCCCCACTCCCCTCTAAAACCCTCAGTTTGCTTCTCAGAGTCCACAGTCTCTCATGCTTCATCTCCCCCGTATTGTGAATAATTTACAGAATGGAGGAGTCATGACTGCTCCCGACCACAAGCTTTCGCCCCCCTGAGGACGTGAAAAGAAAACAACGTGTACCTTCTTTTGATGACACCATCTTTCGTCCTTTGTTGCCTAGAAACAAGTCGGAAGAACAGCGCATAGAAGACAGAGCATACCCAAGAAATAAACAGGAGTGATAGTTCCCAAGTCCCAGGAGGAAGGAGTTAATTCTGTGTGTTCCGATCGTTCTCCCAAGGGAGGGTGTGTGGGCCCCCAGGACACCTGGGACCTGGGACAGGCCTCCACTTGGGCGGCGACAGACAAGACACAGTGGGGGCGATCAGGAAGAGCTCCTCTGCCTCCTCCTTCCTGGCAAGGAACTGCCTTCACCAACCATGTCAAACCCAAGTGAGCCACCCAAGACTGCTGGGGGGAGCATAGGGCTAGACTTGAACCCAGGCTGGCCCTTCCATCCTAAGCAGGCAAGGGGCCACTTGAGCCATCCTCAGGGGAGCTTGAGTTTGGAGCCCAAGTGGGCTTTCTGGACTGACGTTAAAGCTGTGTGCGGAGGACTCTTCTCTGGGGTAGAAAAGCGGTCTCTTTCCTTGCTTCTGTTTTAAGAGAATGTCGGGGCCGTCGTGTGTACTTTCTGCAACCCAGAGTATTTGATACAGGATTCTCTTTCCTCTGCCTTTCTGCCTTTCATCCATTCATTCTTTCTCCATCTTTCCTTGAATACCTTCCACGTGCCAGGCACCGTGCTGGTAATTTCTGTGCATTATTTCTAACTCTGACAATCCAGGGAAGCTGACACTATTATCCTCCACTTGGGAGAAGAGGCCACACATCTCAGAGAGCTGGAATGACATTCTCAAAGTCACGGAGCCAGACAGCATCAGAGCCGGGATTCAAAGTCGGGTGGGTTTGGTTGGAATCCTGTGCTGTTTGTACCCTGCCAAACCAGGGGCCGGCAGGCTGCTTTGACCCTTTCCCGTCCTGAGATCCAGGCTTTGTGTTGTCACCGTCAGTGCCTTCAATTATTGTTCAGTGCCTTTGGCTATCACTCCTTTCTATTCCCACTTCCAGGAAACTCTGCTACTGGGATTTGTTGACTCACTGGGAAGCCTTCAGGTTTTACGGGCCAGAGTAAGAACGGCCGTAAAAACCTCTGTTGTGGCGCTGCCCTTGTGGTTCAGGGCCCCCCAAGGAAGGACCGCTGTGATACACTCCGTTTAGAATTCTCTGAAGAAAGACTCCTAGTTCTCTAGAGGGCATCCAGCTGCCTTCCCAGCAGAGGCAGACCGAGCGGGGTATCGGGCCCGAACGGAGCTCCTCTGTTTCAGTCGGCAGAAGGGGGTGCCTAGGAGCCCCGCTGGCTGGTGCTGGGGGAAGGGGCGTGCTTCATATGTATCGCTCTGCGGAGTCTGGGTCTGGCATATTCCACACCCATCTCCGGTCCCCTGTGGGCTCATGTTTCTGCTTTGCTCCTTAGGACGGCCAGCCAACTGTGCGTGAGCATCGCCCCTGGGCCCCCCTGGGCTGCCCGAATGTCACTTTCTGTCCCAGGCTTCTCTGACAGCCTCACGGGGCTCATGTGAGCTGGGAATGCCTAGGGGGAGTTAACCCTTCCGGGGCGATCCTTGGGTCACAGGGACACAGGAAGCCGCGGATGAATACCTCCGCGTACAGGTGGCCGCTGTGCAGTAGACAATTGTGACCTGCCCCATGGCTCCTCAAAGAAACCCCTGGGGTGGAGCGCCGGGAGCCCAGGGCAGGAGCCTGCGCTTTACCACGCCGCTGGGCAGGATTTCTTTGTTCTCTTAGAATTCCGATCTCACCGTTCCCTAAGGTTGCTCCCCAGAATAGCTACCTGCATCAGGACTCTCAGGGAACCATGCAAAGCCGAGTATACGTGATAGGTCAACACCCCCCACCATGTGTTTCCTGAGCTCACGCTGCTTTCCCAGGCCGGGAGATGCAGGTCCAGGTTTGGGCCCCAAAGTGATCGCAGGCTTGGCCTAATGATCTCTGTGAGTCTTTGCAAGAACCCTCTACCGTTGTCAGTTGCAGGGGGAAATGTTTTTCATAGGGAAATAATATGTTCCCCTTCTTCCATCAGTGAAAATCCCCAAGCTATTCTATTACTGAAGATTCTCATTTACAAGTGACTAAAACCAGCAAATATAGCTCCCAGTTAAACAAAAGGATGGGTGGGTTGATTGAATTAAGTAGGAAGGGGAAGGACAGATGTTGCAGGCAGGGCTCTCGCCTGGAGTTCAAATGATGCCAGCGGATGCGTGCTCTTGTTTTCTGCCTTCTGTCTTCTGCCTTCCTTCTCAAACATGCTTTGTTCAGGGGGTGGCAAGATGGCTTCCAAGCTCCCAGCGCCATGGTGGTGAGAGCAGACACCCCCAGGGTATGCCTCAGCATTCATGTCTCTCCTCTTCCAGGAGGCCAACTGGCCTTCCCTCAGTCATCCGGCCCCTCAGGAGAATGCGGTGCTTGGAGCCCGGGTTCTCTTCATTTGTCTGGTATGTCATTCTAGTGCGTTGACTTTTCCCCTTGGAGCTTCCTTCCTCAGGGTCTCAGTACAACTCCAGAAGCTCCACACATCACCTCCTCACCAAGCGCTTCCAGAGACAAGAAAGAGAATATGGTTTCTGGTGCTTCCTTTTCATCTTATTTCAGTCACTTATTCCCCCATATATATAAAAAAATTATATATATATATTCGTCAGGCCTCACATTTCTAGGGGCTCTTTATATATTCTCCAAGTGAGCGCTTTGCCAGATACTCTGAACTCATTCACATTCATACTCAGCATTTTCTTCATCCTCCTCTGGAACATGGAAATGACCTGAGAGCATTTAACTCTTAACTGCTTTATATTCATCTCCTATGACATTGTTGACGAGTGGTTTAGTTCATGCCTAGGCTGTTTGCCAGCATGTTTGTTCCTTCTTCCTCCAGAAACTGCTTTGAAGAGTCATGACAACCCCAGTTTGGGTGAAGACTGGACAAAACAGAACCTCTACTTTTCACACTAACATTTTTAATATCATGATAGTTGCTACACAACTATCAACAGGATGTTTCATGTCTAACACCGTGTTTCCTTGGACTCCATCACCCTAGTGACAAGAGTCGGGCTGTCCTTCAGAATGCCAGGGAGGTCATGGTAGTCTCCCCAGCCACGGACCAGTTCAGCCAGTATGCGTGTGAGCAGATCCGTCTGAAGATACCCCAGCTCCCAGCCCCTCCAAAGCTTAGCTTTCACATCTGTGAGTCCTGGAATTCGGGCATCATAACGGTGATGTCAGCTCTGTTGGTGGCTCCCTCAAAGGCCCACGAGTACTCCAAGGAGGGCTGGGAATTCCTGAAGGAGCCAACCAAGTAGCCTCTCAGAGGAACCCACGTGCTCCAGTCAGGAACGGGGGCACCATAGATCTGGAGACTCCGGGCTGGAACTGGGACCCCACCCCAAGGGCAACTCCCAGCCTTGTCAGCTCAATAAAGGACTTTGGAAGAGTTTAAAAAACATATGTAGGCTATATCCCAAGGAGAGTTACAGATACCAAGCATTTGGTCTAGTATTGGTCTCAGGCATCTCTTGAACTTCTGTTGGAACACGGCTTTTATCAATTTTTTAACATGGAGGTAAAGTTTACATACAGCAAACTGCACATGTCTTCATTGTAAGAGTCAATGACTTTGATGTCTCCATCTGTGTATGGGTTCTGAGTTCCAAGGTTCCAAGGTTCCAAGGTTCTGAGTCTGCCCATAGGCACCTGTGATTCTGGTTTCGCTCTCCATGCAGCAATTTCCCAATCAAAGGAGCCATGTAGTTCTTCCCTTTTGTGTCTGGGCTATTTTGTTCAACTTAATGTTTTGAGATTCATTGACATTGTTTTAGGTATCAATAGTACATTCTTCCTCTCTTTTTCTTTGTAGTAATATCTGCTTTTTCATTCTTGATATTGTAGCTTTTGCCCTGTTCTGCTTTTTTTTTGTCATGGTCAGCTTTATAATGATTTTATCAATTTTTCTGGATTTATTCGTTTTTTACAATGAACTATTACTTTTGTTAATGTTTTCTATTGTATATTTGCTTTCTAATTTAATGGGTTTTTTTTGCTTATATGTGAGCTATGATTTTTGCATAAAGGGAAAATGATTATTTTTTGCTCCTTTCTTCTGCCTTTACGTTTTCCTCATCACTTGCCATAGCCATTGTTTTTCACTGATATAAAGAAAAAATGCAAAACGTTTTTCCCTGATATAAAGAAAAAATGCAAATGTTTACCTCATTAGAAGAAAGGAACTGCAAAATATTGATCTGTAGTTAATGGCGTGCCTTCGATAAAATATTCAGATATTAACTACTGACAGCTGCAATTTATTCTGCATACAGCAAAGGAAGGGGCCAACAATGGTTGGATCAATATGTGATAAGTAGTGTGAAATGTTAATTGCATAGTAGAGATGGTAGTAGATATGTGGGTATTTGCTGGAAAATTCTCCCAACTTATTTATATTTTTTTACCTTTCACCCCCTTCGCCCATTTCTCTCACCTCCCACCCCCACCTCCAGCAACCACCAATCTGTCCCCTGTATCTGTAAGCTTATTTTTCTAAAATTTGTTTATTTGTTTTTGTTTTTAGATTCTAATATAAGCGAGATCACCCAGTATTTATCTTTCTCTGTGTGACTTATTTAGCATGATGTCCTTGAGGCCCATCGATGTTGTCCCAAGTGGCAAGATTTCATTCCTTGTTATGGCTGAATAATATTCCATGGTGTGGGGGCACCTGGGTGGCGCCTTGGTTAAGTATCTGACTCTTGGTTTGGGCTCAGGTCATGATCTCGGGGTCATGATCTCAGGGTTAGGAGGTTGAGCCCCGGTGTAGGGCTCCGCACTGGGTGTGGAACCTGCTTAAGAGTCTCTCTCTCCCTCTGCCCCTACCCCCTGCTCTCTTACTCTTGCTAAAATAAATAAATATCTTTCTTTAAGATTGATTTTATTTATTTATTTATTTATTTATTTATTTATTTATTTGACAAAGAGAGAGAGCACAAGTAGGGGGAGTGAGAGAGGGAGAAGCAGGCGCCCTGCTGAGCCGGGAGCTTGATGAGGGGCTCAACCAGGACGCTGAGATCATGACCTGAGCTGAAGGCAGATGTTTAACCAACCAAGCCACACAGTCACCG